GGAAATAAGAAATATAGGAAATGGAGTACAGAAGTCTATCCTGCTCTACAGGAAAATAGAAGGGGAAGGGGAATAAGAGAAGGGGGGAGAGATAGAAGAGAGGAGACTAGGGGAAGGGGTATTCAGAATGCATGCCATCTTGGGGTGCGGGGAGGGGTGAGATGGGGTGAAAATTTGGAACTCAAAAACTTGTGGAAGTGAATGTTGAAAACTAAAAATAAATAAATTTATATTTTAAAGAAAATAGCCTAACCCAAATGGCAAAAGAGGTCCAAAAAGCCCAATGAGGAGAAGAATGCCTTCAAAAGCAGAATTGGCCAAATGGAAAAGGAAGACCAAAGTCTCACTGAAGAAAATACTTCCTTAAAAATTAGAATGGAGTGGGTCAGCTAGGTGGTACAGTGGATAGAGCACCAGCCCTGAAGTCAGGAGGACCTGAGTTCAAATCCGGCCTCAGACCAAACACTTGACACTTACTAGCTCTGTGATCCTGGACAAGTCACTTAACCCCAGTTGCCTAAAAAAAAAAAGCAAAAAACAAAATTAGAATGGAGCAAATGGAAGCTAGTGACTTTATGAGAAATCAAGACATTGTAAAACAAAATGAAAAGGATGAAAAAAAAATAGAAGACATTGTGAAATACCTCATTGGAAAAACAACTGACATGGAAAATAGATCCAGGAGAGAGAATTTTAAAATTATTGGACTATCTGAAAGCCATGATCATAAAAAAGAGCCTAGACATCATCTTTCAAGAAATTATTGGGGCAGCTAGGTGGTGCAGGGGGCAGATAGGTGGCACAGTGGATAGACCTCTGGCCTTGGAGTCAGGAGGACCTGAGTTCAAATCTAGTCTAAGACACATGATACTTACTAGCTGTGTAACCCTGGGCAAGTCACCTGACCCCAATTGCCTCACCAAAAAGCAAAAAAAAAAAATTATCAAGGAAAACTGCCCTGATATTCTCAAACCAGAGGGTAAAACAGAAATTGAAAGAATCCACCAATCACCTCCTGAAAGAGATCCCCAAAGGAAAACTCCTAGGAATATTGTAGTCAAAGTCCAGAGTTTCCAGGTCAAGGAGAAAATATTTCAAACAGCCAGAAAGAAACAATTCAAGTATTGTGGAAACATGATCAAGATGACACAAGATTTAGTAGCTTCTACATTAAGGGACTAGAGGGCTTGGAATATGATATTACAGAGGTTAAAGGAGATAGGATTACAGCCAAGAATCACCTACCCAGCAAAACTGAGTATAATCCTTCAAGGGGGAAAAAAATGGATATTCAGCGAAATAGAGGACTTCCAAGCATTCTTGATGAAAAGACCAGAACTGAATAGAAAATTTGACTTTCAAATATAAGACTCAAGCATGAAGAGGTAAACAGGAAAGAGAAATCATAAGGGACTTATTAAAGATTGAACTGTTTACATTCCTCATGGAAAGACAATATTTGTAACTCTTGAGACCTTTGTCAGTATTGGGGTAGTTGGAGGGAAAAAAATTGGATAGATAGATAGATAGATAGATAGATAGATAGATAGATAGATGATAGATAGATGGATGGATGGATGGATGGATGGATGGATAGATCGATGGATGGCACAGGGTAAGTTAAAGATGAAGGGGTTATATCTGGAGAATAAAATTAAGGGGTGAAAGAGGATTATATTGGGAGAAGGAGAAAGGGAGAGGTAGAATAGAGTAAATTAGCTCACATAAAACAGACAAGAAAAGGCTTTTACAGTGAAGGGGAAGTGGGGGGAAGGTGAAAGGGAGTGAGTGAATCTTATTCTCATTGGATTTGGCTTAAGGAGGGAATAACATACACAATCAATTGGGTATGGAAATCTATCTTACCCTACAGGAAAATAAGGGGGAAGGGGATAAGAGAGCAGGGAGCCGGGGGAGGGGGAGGAGATGATAGAGGAAGGGCAGATTGAGGGAGGAGGTAATCAGAAGCAAACACTTCTGAGGAGGGACAGAGTCAAAAGAGAGAATAGAATAAAATGCGGAGTGGGAGAGGATGAAGGGAAATATAGTTAGTTTTTCACAACATGACTACTATGGAAGTGTTTTGCATGACTATGTATGTATAACCTGTATTGAGTTGTTTGCCTTCTCAATGAGGGTGGGTGTGGAAGGAAGAAGGGAGAAAATTTGGAACCCAAAGTTTTAAAAACAAATGTTAACAATTGTTTTCACATGCAACTAGGAAATAAGATATACAGGCAATGGGGTATAGAAATCTATCCTGCCCTATAGGAAAATAGAAGGGGATGGGGATAAGAGAAGAGTGGGGAGAGAGAGAGAGCAGATTAGGGGAAGAGTATTCAGAATGCAAACTGTCTTGGGGTGGGAGGAGGGGCAAAATGGGGAGGAAATTTGGAAGTCAAAATCTTGTGGAAGTGAATGTTGAAAACTAAAAATAAATTAATTAATCCATCATTTATTTAAAAAATAAAATAAAGTAAAATCAAGCTAATGCATGACTGACCCCACAGGGTTGTTATATGGAAAGTATTGTATAAACCTTGAAGCCTTTTAGAAATGTGAGCTGTTATTATCTTCCTCTTATATACTTATCTCATGAGACACTTTGCAAGACAGCTGTTCCTATACATGTCTCTACCCCACTAGACTGGTGAGACCAGATCTTATTCTTGGGTGTTCCTGCTCCCAATCTCCCCTCAGCCCCTATTACAGATACTTGAGCATAGTGAATGCATAACAAGTCCCATATATCATAGTTATTTACGTGTCTGTCTTTCTTCTATTAGGTTATAAGCTCCTTGATAACAGGATCTATTTGTCTATCTGCATTTCTGTCTCTGTATCTAATACTGAATATAGTAGGCGCTTAATAAATGATTGCTGAATCATAGAATAATTGAATGAATGGTGGCTGAGCCCTACTCATTGGATGAGAGGAAACATTGCACCTAGAAAGGGACAAAATGGGGCTTTGGTCAAGGCCTTCTCCAGATCCTCTGATCCCCATTTTGTTGTTCTCCTGAGATTTAATTAGTTTCTAGGAAAAACCAAAAGCCTTTGGCTTTTGAAAGGGAAGGAGCCAGTGCCATCTAGAGGTGAACAGGAAGACCTAATGTTTGGGGAGATGGGGAGGTGGCAACCTTGGGTTTGAGAAATGGACACCCCAAGAACTTTATTCCTGAGACCACATCGGTGATTCCATGTTCTAAAACCTAATGGAGGATGAGTCTCCTTGGAAAGTGGAGGAGGACACCAAGAAAGGCTAGCCAAACCTAAAGCCAGAACTGTCCCAAGTCCTGACCTCTTCAAAGTTAAGATCACAAATGGGGATGGGGATGGGGATGGGGATGGGGATGGGGATGGGGATGGGGATGGGGATGGGGAAGGGATTGGGGATGGGGATGGGGATGGGGATGGGGATGGGGATGGGGATGGGGATGGGGATGGGGAAGGGATTGGGGATGGGGATGGGGATGGGGATGGGGATGGGGATGGGGATGGGGATGGGGATGGGGATGGGGATGGGGATGGGGATGGGGAAGGGATTGGGGATGGGGATGGGGATGGGGATGGGGATGGGGATGGGGATGGGGATGGGGAAGGGATTGGGGATGGGAATGGAGAAAGGTCAGTGTCTTTACACCAGCGTCAGTGATGCATCCCCAAAAATGATCCATAAGAGAGGCATGATCCCAAGCATGAAGTACAGGACTGATTTTCCCATAGACAAGTAAGGAGCTCAAAGGAGGATTAAGAAAGGCATCAGGCAAGAGGCTATCTATCCCAGCAGAAGGGAATCTCAGAACTTTGGTGCTGTTTTCTACCCACTGTTCAGATACCTTCTTAGGTAGTTTGAATTTCTCTTTGGTGCTTGGATGATCTAAAGAGAATGCTATTAATTTTTTCCAGTGTCTTATTGATGCATTTTGTTTTTCTTTTACAATTATTTCTGAATGTACACTACACGTGCGCGCACACACACACACACACACACACACACTCACTCACTCACTCACTGGAGTCCTCCTTTGTAACAAAACAAAACAACAAAAGCAGTTGAACAATGATCACCAATATAGGGAGGAAGTCTGACAATATATGTGATATTCTGCCCACTAGTGCCTTGCCTCTCTGCTGAGAGGAATAGGGTATGTTTCCTTATCTGTTCTCCAGAACCAAGATTAGCTTTTACAATTAGTGAAAGTTTGCCTTCCTTTCTTTACATTATTATAGTCTTTATTGTTCTTCTGGTTCTGCTTAAAGAACTCTGTATCAATTTACATAAATCTTTCCATGTTTCTCTGAATTCTTCATCTCGATCTTTCCTTACTGCACAATACTATTCCATGGCATTCATGTAACCCAGTTTGTTCCTTAGTTGTTGGGGAGACTCACTCAGCAGTTCATTGCTCACCACTAAAAATATAACAATAAATATGTAGGCATAAACTAGACATTTCTTTCTGTCTTTGAAGGAGGGTGAGTATTTGACCAAAAAGGACAGAAGTATAATATGGTGGAGAAATCGCTGACCATGGAATCAAAACACTTGAGATTAAAATTCTGCTCTGCTACTTACTTGCTCTGTGACCTTCGGCAAATCACATCCCCTCTCTAGGCTTGGTTTGCTTCTGTGTCAAATGAGGAGTTTGTACTAGGTGATCAAGGAGGTGCATTCCAGCCAGGCATGTGCTGGAGCCAACTTGAATCAGTTCTTGAGGACTAATTGTTAAATTAGAAATTGGCAAATGCTACCAATCAGAGTTGGATTTACTGTTTAGTTGACCATCTAGACTTAAGAAAGTGATGAAGAAAATGTGAAAAATCCATATTAAACTTAAAAGTGCATTGTGCAGACACGTTATTTTTTTGGAGAGCTGATTGTTAAACATTTATCAGCCCATCATTGATTTCAGACCTAAAGCCTATGATTGTGTTTGCTACTTTGGCCAAATGTTTTCTCTGTCCCTGATCCCTCTCTGTGCTGTGCTTCTTTACAGGAGAGCGTGGATTTGGGAGAAATCATGTTTTCCCTCTGCTACCTGCCCACAGCAGGCCGCCTCACCCTAACGGTAATCAAATGTCGTAACCTCAAAGCAATGGACATCACAGGCTACTCAGGTATGGCCCCTTCTTTTAACTTTAGACCTCAGGGAATCCTTATGGGGCTGAAAAGATGTAGGGGGGAGGAGAGAGAGAAGGGATACATTACCATTTATCTGAGAGAAGAGAAGGAAAGGGAGAGAAGTGAAGGAAAGGGGAAACAGGAACCCTGGTAGTTTGGGTGAGGTCTGTTTTATCACCAGGTCAGCAGGAAGATCGTGCATACATTTGCCTTTCCATCCCTAGGCCTGCATGGCATCCACTCAGCAAGTAGGAATAGATTCATATAGAAATTGTGTGTTTCCACTGGAGTTTTCCCATATGTCTCAGCCTCAGCCTCAGGACAGCCATCTGGGGCAGCTGTGGCACATATTCTTCCTCTTTCTCCTCCATCTAGCAGGGCAGCTCTAACCCTCTAACCTAGCCTAGAATACTCTTATCTCTGTAGCAGCTGCAGTGACCATCTCAGAGGGACCTCTTATATCAATTGTGTTTCCCTATCCACAAGGAAGTATTTTGGGACACAAGATAAGAGTTTAGAAATGGGGGATTAATTGAGGCTCTAGCTACCAGAAGGCAGATGAATCCTGGCAATCTCTTCCTGTATCAACCTGTACTATCAGCATTTGCCTGGAGAGTTGAAATGGGGTCATGCTACTGAGAATTCCCCTTGTAGGTTCCCAGCATGTAAGGTAGACATTAGATTACATGGCCTCTGAAATCCTTAGCTAGATTCTTTAAAGGCAAACAGGAAAATCTTAAGTTTGGGGTCACCAAGTAAGTACCCAAGAACCCAGCCACCTTAAACAAGCCCATTCTGGTACTTTAAGCTCAACATTCAAAGCCCAAACTTGCATGAAACAAAATTTAAGATTTTTTTTCCCTTGCAGAAAAATGTGCTTAATATAATCATAGCAGCCACAGGGAAGTAATATCCCAGTTGCCAACTTCTATCTGTATCCAGGTACAGCCTGTGGCATTTGGAAAAAGATGAGGTATCAGGCCTTGAAACTGGAAATTTTTCAGGGAAAGACAAATGGGTGCTTATATATAAATATAAATACACACACACACACATACACACACACACACACACACACACACACACACACAATCTTTGATTCACACTGAGATTCTGCACCCAATCTCTAATGCCTTTCTGATAAACTCACACCTCCAAGGGAGGCTTTTAGCCAAAGTCTGCCCCAGATAGCACCAGCCCAGAAAGACACCCCTAACACCTCTCCTTTTCCCTACTCTTTCCACCACTCTTAAGACATGGAGAGAAGCTCAAAGAACCACTTCTGGAGTGTGAAAAGACTCTTATGTGGCAGCAGCTCTCCTTCCCCTGAAAGATATCGAATGTATAGTTCATTTTAATATCAAAATAAGTATGTTCTGGGGATGGAAATTCACTGAGGACTCTTGAAACTGCAGAGGGAAATAAGGTTTTGCTGTGTAAGTCCCTACACCATCTTCCCTGATGTAATTAAATTGATGTGTTGGAAAGCTAGCTTGTGGTAATGCCACTGAAATAGCTGTAAAAGATTGTTCCAAATCAGAAAGGTTTTTTTCTTTTTTTTTATTGAGTTAAGTTCTCTTTTTCCTACTATACTCACACCTCTTCTCCATTGAGATTTAGGGTCTGGTATTACATTTGGGCTCAGTTTAAAAAAAATACGGCTCCCCTTGTTGTGCCAGGAACTGGCATTTATGGGCTCAAGGTTTGAAAAACAAATGCACAAAATGGTCCTGGGTCCGAGGAGCCTCCATGGCAGACTCTTCTCTTTTCCCTCGAGTCAGGGTTCAAGGTAGTAGAATGGGGTAATAAAAAAAAATAGTACAGTGTTTGGATTCGGAGAACCTGGGTTCAAATCTTTCCTCTGTCATTTACTAAGTGTTACGGACAGAGCCCAGGCCATCCTGTTCCCCCATTGACTCTGTTGTTTCCTAAGTCAAGTCACAGGCTGCTCATCTCCGTTATGGATTATGATTGGTAGGGATGAGCCCTAGCAATGGCCCTTGTCCTTTTTGTGTGTCATGGCCCCCTTTGGAAGTTTGGTGAAGTCTATGGACTCCTTTGCAGAATAATATTTTTAAATAAATATTCTGTCCCATTGCTCAGTTTCTGGCTTATTTAAAAGTTTGTGTAAGAGCCTTCTAGATTTAAAATTTTTGCTCTCAGATTATAGTTTCTACCTCCTGGCTTCTTTCTGTTCACTACCAGTGATGTGAGCCCAGTATCCCACTAGCATGATCTTGAGAGATTTCTAACCCGGCCATATGTATGTGTTTAGACAGAAGCATGAATTTTGGGTCTAGTGTGGGCCAGCTGTTCTGGCCTGTGCCTACTTTGAGACAAAGTGTGCCCTGACTCCCAGGCAAGAGGGCGTCTCAGAACATCAGATGCTCAAAAGCTATTATTACCTGTGAGCTTCCCTCCTGTTTCTTCAGCTGCAGAACATAAATAACAATTATGGTGGGGCCTGAGACACCTGTGTTAGGAGGGACACTGGTTGTCAGTTCACTGGATTGCATGGAAAAACACACACACACACACACACACACACACACAATATCTTTGATTCACACTGAGATTCTGCTCCCAACCTTTAATGAGTTTCTGATAAACTCACACCTCCAAAGAAGGCTTGTGGCCAAAGTCTGCCCCAGAGAAGGGGTAGGAGCCACAAGCGAAAGGAAAGATTGGTAAAAAAAAAAAAAAAAAAAAAGTAGCCATCTGCCCACTCAGTGAGCCCTCTGGAAGCAAGGGTGATTCTGAAGGCAGAGGCCAACCTCTTCACCCTACATAGTATATGCAAGACATCCCTAAGGAATATGGCACCCTCATCCTCTCTCTCCCTGAATCCCAGAGAGACCTTGGACATTTCCTCCCTGCTGCCCACTGCCCCTTAGTCAATAGGGAGTAAATATCAGGGATGCCAAGAGCATCCCTCCACTCCCCCTTTCTAGACCAAGTGAAAATGTGATTGTTGGGGACAATGGAGCCCCTAATCTTACTGTCAGCCAGGGAAGACAGGAGCAGAGTCCTGCTGGTCTCTGTTCGTTTCATTCTGACACATTTATTTCCACTTCATGGGTTTAAATGGGTTCTATTTTTACCCCCTAATCTGAACTCCTTTGGTTAATGGTCCTGACAAACCCCCCAGAGAACAGGAATCCAAATAGGTAAAAGAAATCAACTGGCTTTGTTCAGCCTCACCACCTTTCTGAGCCTGAGGCAGTGGGCCCTCGGTCAGCCAAGCATGGGGCCAGCAATGAAGGACTCCGGGTTTCTCCCCTGTATACCCATGGACGAGTCGCTTGACTGCTCTTGGGTCTGTTTCTCCATTAAGTTATCTCCCAAGGATGCCAGGGAACTAAAGAGACCGTGTTTAGTAAGCATTTAGTGCTCCTTGGAGGCAGGTGTTCTGTCTAAAGACAAGGTGGTGTTATTATTTTTACCAACCCACTGATACCATCTGACAAGTCACAGTAGGTCTTGTGTACAGATTCTTCTTTGTTCAAATATTGTTTCAGGAACACCTGCTAAACAAGTTTCTTTCCCTTTCCTATCCTTCCCTCCCTCCCCCAATGCCCCATCCCCCTCCCACCGCCATCACAGATCCCTATGTCAAAGTGTCCCTGCTGTGTGATGGGCGGAGGCTGAAGAAGAAAAAAACCACCATCAAGAAGAATACACTTAATCCGATCTACAATGAGGCCATTATCTTTGACATTCCGCCAGAGAACATGGACCAAGTCAGCCTGCTCATCTCCGTTATGGATTACGATAGGTAGGCAGGAGGCCTGTGGACAGAAACTCTTGCCTTTTTGGTAGGTCATGGAAGTCTGGGGAAGCCTATGGACACCTTTGCAGAAATATATTTAAATAAATAAAATAAAATACACATGGTTGATTACTCCCCCCAAAAAAACCAAAATACATTGAAATGTATTTATTTTTTTTTTAATGTTTAAAGTGCACAGAACCTATATGAAGAACCCCTGCCCTAGATAGACTTTAAAAGGGGAAAGTACAGAGCCAGCTCAAGGTTTCTCAGGCTTATGTTTTGGTGCCCTTACTTTCCTGAAGCCCAGAGCTGGACTTTCATGGCACCAGTATAGTTTCACATGGACTATTTGTGTCCAACGTGTGGTAGGGACTTCTGAGCAGATACTGCTTTGATCAGCCACAGTCAGACACACTGCACCTTGGCCCCGACGTAGTGATGTTTCAGTCCTCCTCAAGAAGGACAGCAGCCAGCCAACGAAGAGCAATCTGAGACATGGTGATGTTTCTCAAAGAGAAAACTCACGTTTCTCTTCCCTCTATGTCATTTCCATGACTGACACCCTCATTCTTTTCATTTCTTGGGTTGGAAACCATGGCATCCTCTCCAACTTTTCCTTCTCCTTTATTGCCTATATTTAACCTGTTTTTCAAGTCCGGGTTTTTTTTTTCCTTCGGGTTTTTTTTTTCCCTTCGAGATAGCTGCCTGATTCACCCCAACTTTCCATTGCCCCTGCTACCACATAGCCATGCCCTTTGTCACCTCATGCCTGGCTCACTGCAGTATATGTCTGAGTGATCTCCCTGATCTGTTCTATACACTGGGCGTCACTCCAGTCTAATCTTCCTAAAATACCTCTTCCTTCATATCACCCACCGCCACCACCCCAATTTAAGACCATACAATAGATCCCTATTTCCTACAGCAGCAAGCATTTCTCTGTTTCGTTTTCAAAGTCCTCTATCATGTGGCCCCATTTTACTTCCTCACCTATGTTTTCTAGCACTTCTTAACAGGAACCCTCTGCTCCAAGCAGGCATGTATATCTACTCACTGGGCCCTTAGTTCTATACTGTTTGCCCATTCCCAAGGTCTACTTACTCTTTTCCTCTTGCTGTTGTTCAATCGTTTTCAGTCATGTCCAACTTTCCATGACCCCAGTTGGGGTTTTAAGAAAACAAAGACACTGGAGTGGTTTGCCATTTCCTTTTCCAGCTCATTTTTTAGAAGAATTCCTTATAAACTATCAAGATTAAGCTAGATTAGCCAGTGCTCAGCACATATTAGGTACTTAATAAACGTTTGCTGAGCTGAATTCGACTCAGCTTATTTTTCATTTGCAGTAAATGGACTTTATATTTGAAAGAGAATTTGTGGGAATTCTTTAGATGTTTAACTTCATCATTATGCACAGCAATCCAATTAATTCTGTATTCTGTGTTTAGAATGAAGGCTTAACTTAAATGAGTCCTGTTTTGGAAATAAACACATTGTTATAATGATTTAAACACCAATACTGGGGTGGGTATGATTTAGAAAATTCATAATATATAGATATAGATATAGATATAGGTATAGGTATAGATATAGATATAGATATAGATATAGATATAGATATAGATATAGATATAGATATAGATATAGATATAGATATAGATATAGATATAGATATAGATATAGATATAGATATAGATATAGATAGATATATAGATAGATATATATATAAACACTTGCATCAGACTAGCCAGCCTCTTCTTTTAATCAGTTGATGTTAATGTTCAGAGACTTTTTGTATCTTGTTGCTGAAAATATATTTTGCATTTCAGCACATCAAGTTACAATAAAGGTATTACTTACTCAGAAAAAAAAAAGAAATAAGTATGACCCTGTAAAGTTGTAGTAAGATAAAGTAAGAGGAAAGTAAGATGTAGTAAGGAAAGAGGAAACTGAGGCAAACAGGGTTAAGTTAGTGAGTTGATGAGTTAAGTTAATAAGTTAAATTAATGAGTCTTCCTGACTCCAAGCCCAGTGCCCTATCCACTGCACCACCACTTTTAATGGCTAGTTCAAGTGCCATCTCTTTTTTTTCTTTTTTTTTTTCTTTTTTTTTTTGCTTTTCTTCATATCCTCAGCGCTTAACATAGTGTCTAGTAAATGGTAGGTACATAATAACTGTTTTTGATTTATCTTCTTCAGGAAGCTTTCTATGATTATTCTTTTTCAAACTTATCTCTCCCTTCTCTGAATCTTGTTCTCTGTGTTTCATATGTATTAGTATTGTCTGCTCAGTCTATAGACTCCTCACAAGTGGAGGATTGGATTTTATAACCCCTCCATAATACCAGTATAGTGAATGCTGAGCACACGGTAGGAATTCAAGAAACTCTTGTCACTGAAGTTAATGAAAATCAAGATACCAGGAGGGCAAGCCTCATTCTAAGTTATTTAGTACCTATCACTGCCTGTAATAGGTGATCACTAAATATTTGTTGATTTACCGTTTTGTGAATAAATCACTTTAGCTACCAGATTTATTGCTTATGCCACTCTGTCCCTGGGACACCCTAAAAGTGGGCTATGAGTCACACTTAAAAACCCAATGAGGTATGGAACAGGCAGAGAGAAAATACTGATGGGAGGTTGATTTACTATATTTTTGAAGTCTCCTCTGAGACACCCAAGCAATACTGACAAAGTAGAAGAACATACAGTTATCCCTTCCACATTGAACTTTCAATATATTTTGAGTCAGCAAAAGAAATTAAATGGGAATTTTGGGAGAGTTTTGCAGAAGCTCAAAGATGATACACAAAGACCAGCAGATGACATAGGACCTATGACCAAATACTTAACCCAAATTTTACAGTAAGGTACTGTAAACACCCCATAAAAGAAAAAGAAAAAATTCAGACTTCTTCTCTGGAATGAAAGAAAAGCCAAAGAGTTTGTGTGGATTTTCCAGATCACAATGCTGCACCCCTAACCCCCATTGGCTGGAAGGGGTAACTGTACTCATGATTCAGATTTCCATTCAAGGGTGTAAGAGCCCTAAGCTTCAATTTCAAAGAACCCCTAAGAAAGCTCCTCAAGTCACCGATGCTCTATCTTTTGTCTCCTTTTCAGAGTGGGTCACAATGAGATCATTGGAGTCTGCCGGGTGGGGATCAGTGCTGAAGGCCTGGGGAGAGACCACTGGAATGAGATGCTGGCCTATCCACGGAAGCCCATTGCACACTGGCATTCCTTGATGGAGGTAAAGAAATCCTTCAAAGAGGTGGGTGCGGCCCCTCTTGGCCCTTTGGGTCAAGACTGCATGGGTTATGCATGGCTCAATTGGCTAGAGAATGGCAATCAGCTTTTCTTTAGGCTCAAGACATTCCTGGGAAAATAGGCAGCGGAGGGCCATGTGCTGAGGTGTGTGGGTTCCCCCCCCCATTTTCTTTTTGGTTTGGTTTCAACTGTTTTGTCCTTATGACTTTAAAATGCAGAGAACAATAAAGGATGTGCTTCCTTGAGACAAAGGTGAAAAGTCACCTAAAAACGTCATGGAGTAGAGGGGTGGTGGATATGGAAACAAGTTCACAGTAAAAAAGAAGTATGAGCCTGTGATGTTGTAGTAAGGCGAAGAGAGAGCGCTGAACTTGGAGCTATAGGGTCTGAGTTTGAACCCTAGCCCTGCTATTTGCTGCCCATATGACCCTGGGTCATTTTATCTCTCCGGGCCTCAGTTTCCTTATCTGTAACATGAGAGGGTTGGACTAGATGATCTTGAAGATTCCTTCCAGTTCTAAACCTAGAATCCAATAATTCTGTTATATTAATCATTGACACGACTTCAGAAACTCCCCCTGGGCCTCCCAGCCTCACTTAAGATAGGAATAACATTAAGAGGAGAGACACGTGAAGCTGATGTGATTTTTTTTCCAGAAAAGAGGCCCTGGGTGGATGGGAAGAGGGGTTCCATTCTCTATCCCTATTCCCAAAGTATTGAGAGAGATCTGATCGTTTTTCAGTCCCAACCAATGCCCACCTTGCCTTTGCATTGTGCTCAGGATAAAGGGGGCATGTTTTGTTTACCCTCAAAAGAAGACAAAACTCCCTATCACCATCACCATCCCCACCCCCACACACATACACCTACAACTCCTGCACAATTCAGTGCCATGAGCTACATCTCTAAAGGAAGCAGAATAACAGAGAGGGAGAGAAAAGCTACAAGGCTTGAACAATGGGAGGCTAAATCCCAGATGGGAAATTCCCGCCAAGCAGAGAAGAAGGTCCCTGGACTCAATTTAGTCTTTTGGCAGTTCTACATCTTTGGGAATCATGAAAAACTCCCTTCACAGAGACTTTTTGTTTTTAACAGTCACCAGGGATGGAAATGGAAGTCAACAAACAGCATCCCAAATGAAGCTTCCCTTGTGGTATTTAGGTAGCCCTCAGGCCGAGGCCTTAGGACCAGATTCTAATAAAAGTGAGTGAGATGTCTCTCATACTTGAAAAAAAGAAACGAAAAAGAACAGTACGGCCTGAAAAGCAAAAGTCCCGGGCTTTAATTCTGGCTCTGTCCCTAGCTCATTACATGACTTCGGTCAGGTCCCTTAAGCTTAGATTTTACCCACTTAAGAAATTAACTGGGTTAGACAGGCAATCCTCCCTCCACCAATCCCTAAAACTCTATGATTCCTCTTCAGGAATGCCTATCCCATTCTTCTTCATTCACGGGGAGAGGTTGAAACCTCCCAATACTACAAAGCATCAAAGCCTACAACAGAAATGTGGTGATAGCTAGCCCTCATTTCAAGCAAAGGATGGATGGCCACTTGTCGGGGATGTTGTCTGGTAAGGGCCACATTAGATGATCTCTAAGGCCCTTTCCAACTTTGAGGTTCTGGGACTCTTCCAAATTCATAGAGACTTAGTCTTTCTTCATCTTGACTAGACTTCAGATCTGATAAGATTCTGGATAAAGACATAGGATCTGTCAATCCATCAACCCCTTCCTTCTGTACCCACAGCCCAAAAAAAAAAGAAGAGAAGAAAAAGAAAGCTGTGCCGGTGTAATCTTCCCATCTCACAGCTCTTTCCCCTAAGCCCTAAGGCCATGTTGCCACTCCACTCAGTTTAAGGAGAGAGCTGTGCTGTGGACAGAACGGAGAGAGGCCCACCCTTTGGTTGCATACTGTTTGCTTGGATCAGAAGTAAAGTAGTATGCACTGAGAAAGTTTGAAAGAAAGCTTGGAAATAAACAGGGAAGATAGAGAAGGCAGCTGGGGAACCAATCGATTCTCTCTCCCTTTGCAAAGCTTGCCAGTTCTTGATTGTTCCTTTTGGGCTTTCCAAGAGGGAATAAGGCAGGAGGAACAATGTGTTTCTCATTCCAGCGACTTGGGTTTGCCTGATGTCCCCATATCTGTGTTGTCAGTCTTTGCCACAGCAGTCCTTTCACTGTCCCGATCCCCTCCCTGCAGGGAAGACTCTCATCCCACAAATGCATCTCCCTTCCTCTTTCCATCCTCCTTTAGGTGCTAGTCTCTCTCTCTCTCTCTCTCCTCTCTCTCTCTCTCTCTCTCTCTCTCTCTCTCTCTCTCACTCTCCCTCAGCAGTGTAAGACTCTCCCTAGCAATATCGCTCACTTAAGTATCAAATGAGGTGATTGAAGATTCCCCACCCCCTCCCCCATTCTGGAGATAATTAAAAGTAAAGTAGGTACCTGTATATCTGGAATGGTTTAAGAATATCCTCTCTAAGAGCAGTGGGTCCCTCTTATTTGCTTTGCCACTAAAGAGCTGTGTGAGTTTGGACAAATTACTGAATCTCTCTGAGCCTCCTGGTTCCTCAAATGTGAAATGAAGGCACTAAAAAAATCTTTAAGGTTTCTTGCAGGTCCAAATATCTATGATTCTAGATAACCTGTCTCCCTAGGACTCTAAAATCAGCCCTGTGAGTAAGTACTCTATAAATCCCAACCCTTCTGTATCCCAGTTGCCAGGCTAGAGTTGTCCCTGGAACATTCAAGAACGATGACTTTTGGAGAGGTCAGAATTTGGTAGTGCTACAGTGAAGAGATTTGACCTCAGAGGCTCTTCCCTTCGTGATGAATGAAAAGTAATTAAGCCAAATAATTGAGTTTAAGTTGATTTTCTTTGAGAACTTGGATGCAGGAATTCACACTGAAAAAAAAAAAAGAAAGAAAAGGAAAAAAGAGAAAAAGAAAAATGATGAAGTGGACCCAAGACCTTGGAAATGAATATTTTATGAGACATTAAAAGGAAAAGTGACAGTTTAGGGGAAAGAAAGGAGAATAAATTGATTCCTATCTTATGGGTTTTTGTTTTTTTTCTCTGTCCTCTTACACTCAGCTTCCAAGACCCTCTCCCACCCTCCCACCTCCAGCAGCCATTCCATATTTCTTTCCAATTGATAATCATTCCTCTGCCTCAAAAAAGCTGGAAAACGTCATACTTCTCAAAAAAGAGGATTTCACTGGTATTCATTTGCATAAAATTCCCACCCACACTTCCTCACCTGGTGGTTGGAGGATCTTTGTTAAAAAAAAAAACCACCTAAAGCATCAGCTAGGTAGTAATAATCCCTCTGTGTTTCTGTGGTTCAAAGCCTTTTGCTTTTGATTATCACCTCCAACACCCTTGGAGTCATCCAAAAGAGAATCCTTACCTGAGAGCCTCCTAGACCCCCGGGTCTGGCTCCTCCCTCCCTCCCCCCTGACTTACTGGGCTATTTTACATGAGTGTTAGCTTCGCAGGTCTCCTGCTTCTCCATTTGTAAGATAAATGAGATAGTATCTAAGAAGCACTCTCCATTTATATAGCACCTTTCTTAGAGGAGTTTAGAATGCTGTGATTATTTTTTTTTCCTAATGAGAACAGAGGGCACCATCTCCACTTGCTTGTTTTGAACATAAAATAATGTTGAGGGGGAACAAATTATCTGAAAAAGACATTTTTCCCTGCTGAGGATTTTTCATGAATAAAAATTAATTAAATCACAGCTATCCCTCCCTTCTCCCACAGCAGCGGCTACCGCTGCTGTGGCCACTACTGTTACCATCACCTTCCTCTCCTGTTTCCAGCCCTGACACGTCATCTCAGCCACAATAGCAAGTATCTAGATCCACTCAATGGCCTCTTCAGGGAAGGCCAAGCTCGGATCATCAGCCAGGGATGGTTGTCCCTGTTGGAGTCTGACCCATTTCAGGCAAACAAAAGGCCCCCTGCTCAAATTTCCATAATCCTACACAATCATTTAGTGCATGCTGGGCACTGCTTCTTCACCATCTCTGAACCTCTAGGAGCATCCTCCCTGAATCAATCACTGACCTCACCATTGTCCAGGAAATCTCGGTCTTTCTTTGGTGAATCTTTGTTTGAAAAAACCACAAACAGAGAACAGCAAGTCCAACCCCATTAGCCCTAGCTGGACAATTGAACCCAATGTGACTTCTCTTTAACAGTATGGAAGGTACTCCTGTGACTGTTTCAATTCCCCTTCCTCTTGCCTGGTCTATCAAACAGTGGATTAAGTAGTATTGCTTACCTAGGGAGAATACAGTAATTTCAAGATACCTTTCACCAACATTAAAGGCTGTTATAGGGGGAAAAAAAAAACATTGGAGGTCTTGAAATGTGTTTTTAAGTGAGAGGGGTAATAGATTCAATGCTATTTCGCCTCTTGGTGAAGCACGTTAGTCAGATTTCACAATGGGCGTATGGAGCCCTCAGCAACCAGACAATTTATTTATCTAAAATATTTCACCAGGGAAACCCTCGATTGTGATTTCATTCATGTGGATGCTGCAAGCAGAGACTGTCACCTGGAGTTAGGAGTAAGTACCACCGGGGTGGGCCCAACGAGGCTAGGCTTCTTGGTATACTTTCTGCCTTCTTGGCCCAGGGTGGCCTGGAGCAGAGATGGTGATGGAGTGGAAGCAGTACTGGTTTGGGAGTCAGGAAACCCAGGTTATAGTCCTGGCTCTATCCCTAGCTAGCTGTGTGAGCTTGAGGAAATCACTTATCTTTGCCAAGACTCCATTTCCTCATCTGTCAGATGAAGGGCTTCAACCATACAACTCCCTTTTCCAGACCCTTCCAGCTCTAAAATCCCCTCAGTAGTAGGACTTTATGATATTGAGAATCTGGAGATGAGAACTGAAAGAGTTGATATCACAGAGAAGTCATGGTCCCAAGCTATTGGTGTCCCACTCCATACCAATCCAGTCAGTCGTATAGCCTTGCGCTCTCAGGTTGTAGGGTTAGTGGTCATCGTCTACCCAGTACCTCATTATCACCTAAGAGCTTTGTGCTGGATTATCTTCGTGATACCCAGAGAACTGTGAAAACCTGAGCCTCACATGACAAGGTCATTGAGTTCACAAGCCTGCTCTTCCCTGCACCAAGGGAAAACTCAATAGCCTCAGTGGCTTTGGGATCTGGGGCCTTAATTTGGGGGGCTTGTCATCCATCCCATGGGTGAACTCATCTGCCAATTTTGCTCAGAGACAAATAGTCCACTCCTTAGGAAGCTTGGCCCTAGTATTTGGAGATAACATACTATGTCCAGAGGAAACCACTTATTATCTCCAGGTGAAGAGAAGAGAATGGACACCTGGGTTACTAAGGACCATCACCCTGAGAAGCTTCTATCTCCCTAGGAGATTCCAGCCTCTCTAGATTTCATCCCCAGGGAATTTTGCTCAAAGAGACAGCCTATATCTTTGAATCCACCATCATTTCCACTTTCTTGCTGTAGGTATCAAAAATGTTAAGCCAAGTTAGGATATTCAGGATATTGCAGGGAAAACAAGAGACACTACAGTCAGTGTTGTACAATGGAAAGAGTAAAAGATTTAAAGTCAGAAGACCTGGGTTCAAATCTTGATTCTGCTACTCAATGCTTATGTGACCTCAGCCAAATCACTTAACCTCTCTGGACATCAGTTTCCTCATCTGTGAACTGAGAAATTTGGGCTAGAGGGTCCCTAAGGTCTCTTTTGGTTCTAAGCCTGTGAGTCTATGAGTAGGGCTCCAACAAAAGTCACTTTGGAATTGCAAGGTCTCCCAAGCAGATTAGGATTAAGTCAGTAAGTCAGAGCCTTGATAATTAGACACTACTGCATCTGTGAGATGATTTTTAGTTTAAAGGAATGGTTGAATCATGTAGAAACCAAAGTCCATCCATCTTCATTCCCACCCCTCAACTCATTACAACCATCATCGTGCTCTGGAGAGAGATGAGTCAGCTCTGTGTGTGTGTGTGTGTGTGTGTGTGTGTGTGTGTGTGTGTTGGAGAAATGGTGCGGAGGGCGGTGGACAGAGATAGGAAAGGGGGAAAGCTTGTGGCAAGTAGAGAATGGGGATTAGTCCTTAAAGAGACTGCAGAAGGGGCCAAACACCTAGAACCATCTCCAGTCAGGAATCTCCTCCCATCTCTTTTTGCTTCCTGTCCTTAGATTGCCTATGGCCTCCTGGGTTAGGTGTAACTACCCAAGGCAATGTAAATGAAGAATAAGGAAGAAGTATGAATCAGACCGCAGAGCAGAGCAGTATTAGTTCTTAAGCTTGGACTAACAGCTCCCAGACAAATTGCTAACAATTCATGATTGTGGATTCCTAACGGCAAGGGAACTCATCATAGGCTGCCTTTTTGGCCACCTGCATAATCCGATTTTCAGCTTGAAAAATGACTGAGACACTCAGGAATGGCTCAGGCTCAGGACCTCATTAAAATACATGCACACACAAACAAACAATGGAAAATAAGAGAGCTTTAATTACTTTTGCTGTAAGTCTTTTTTTTTTTAAATCAGGTATCTGAAAATGGAACAGTAAAGCTGTTTCCTTTACTTCTCTGCATGGCCTGCAGCAAAATTCAGGAAAGCTTATAAAAGCTGGGAAAGTTGAATTCAGTGCATGAGGGCCCAATAATTGCTGGGCATATATTAAAAAAAAAAACCCAAATCCCTTGACAGTGACCTGCCTCCAGCCTTCCTGGTATAATAATAATAACAAGACCTTCACGTTTCTCTCCAGTGGCAGGGCCGAGCTGCAAGCTTTGACAGCCAGGGTTCCTGCCCATCTCCAAAGCCTCCTCCGACACCGTGAGATGCATGGCCGTGGAACACCAATGGGACTAAGCGATGTTATTTTTGCCCTTATTCAACAGTCCAAGTTCGGGGCGTTATTCTGCAGCAGCAGCCGCCAGTCACTCACTCCAGAGTCTTAAATGTTCCCGCCGTAGGTCAAGGCTGAGAAATTTCTTGTGTGGTCAGAGTTGTCTTAGTCTTTTCTGTCTCCCAAGGTGATTTTTTTCCTTTGTTTATTTGTTGGGTTTTTTATTGTTGTTGTTGTTTTTGTCGTTGTGGTGGTGGTTTTCACTTTTATGGATTTGCAGTCCAGAAAAAGAATGAGGGGCAAAGAAAGAAGGAGTAAAGGACAGAGTGCCCCAAGGTTTGTCAAATAAAGTCTGAAGTCTAGAATAAAGTGTTTTCTGTGGAGGTGGTGAAGCTTTGAAATTCTGAGCTTCCACCGAGGTCACCCCACCCCTGAAGAGGAAAGAAACTGAGCTGGGCTAGTCCTTTCATTTTCAGAGTTCCCTACCAATGGGGCCATTCTTTTATAGCCAGTATTGGGTTGACCTTGACTCATCCAAATCCTTGACTGGCTGGTATTTATAAAACCAAGATTCGGACTCAACGTGTTCTCATTTTGAAATTGTAACCAAATTTGAGGGAGTTGTGAGGTTTGTACCAGGGCGGGGACGCTCCCTGAGTTTGCTTTTTCGCATGAATTGAAATAAGTTGCCTCTTCAAGAAAGCAGAAATGTTTTCTTAGAGAAGAGTTTTGCTGAAGCCAAACATGCCGAGTGTTTCCTGGATCCCGGCAGCTAATGGTGACATTTGTTTGCAAACAGGAGCTTTGTTCTCAAAATACCCCTAATTATGAAGAAAGAAAGGCATATATAACATATGTTCCGGAATGATTCGCAGTAATATATAGTTTTCAAATTTCCATGAGATACCAAACAGCTGCTGAAAACATTCAAATGGGCCAAAACAAAACCCAAATAAAAAGCAAATTTCCAAATAGCAAGTTTTGGGATCTGGGGTACCACCCTCTGTTCATCTTGCCATGGGACCCATGTTTTCTATTGAGGTCAAATCAGCCAATCTGCTTTGGCAAACTGTTGACTTTAGAGACACTTTTCATCTTCAACTTTAGTTCTGTAAATTGCTAAGTACTTTTGTGTTGTTTGTTTCCATGTTAATAAATGGGTTTTCTTTAGCTATCTACTTTAGGCCAGATTCAAGGAAAAAATTGATAATCTTCTGTACCCACATTTATGTTAAGTCTGAGTTAGTGAAGGATTTGGAGCCCACTGGGCAGGGCCAGGGGCTCAGCCTCCATCTAAATGGCATTAGTGAATGTGCTAGAGGGGAATTTTCATGCCAGATCAGAACTCACTATTGCAAAACTTGGAAAACCAATGTAGTTAGGACTTACCAGGGCTAAGCTAGCGAGGCCCTCTATCTGCCGGTGGAAGGTCAAATACATAAAATCCATTTGCCAACCTTGTGTCTCACTCTTTATACATGTTACATGCTACTAGAGCAGTAAATCAATAAAGTAAACCCTTGTTTTAAACTGAAATAACAGGTTTCTCTTTTGGAATCCCTTTGGGAATTATCGTCCATTCCTAAGACTGTGCCAGAAAGTATGTGATCTAAAGTTGGCATTGAAGGATATTGAGAACCTTAAATGTCACTGTGTCCAACTCCCCTTACTTTATAGATGAAGAAACTGAGGTAGGCAAATGAAGAATTATTCAGCTGAAAAAAATGAGATGTAGATAAACCAAACCTCAACCTGCCCCCTAGACTAGGAGGGGTGAGGGAGGTGGGAAAGGGGCTGTGCACCAACAAATTGAAGTTCCTCTTTGTAGGTAACCCATAGTTAATAGTCACAACAAAGAGATGAGTCTGTGGCTGGATGGCTGAGGAAATATTGCTACTAGAACCAAAGTCATGAGTGGTCAGGGACCAGTTGACTTACATCAGTTCCCTATCTCCTGGCTGTGAACCTTAAAGCCAGATGTTTGAATGAACTCACAAATAACCACCATTACATGTTGCTCAACAATATCTATGCCAAGCAGAGATGGGGTCCCTTGGTCACAGGAAACCAGTGAATCCAAACCCAACTCTCCTGGAAAACACAACTCCTATTGGCAATGATCCCTAATGTTCCCTAATGTTCCCTTACAGGCAGGCAACAATTGCTGGTTCTAGCCTCAGACCTTTTAGAAAAGGAGTTGAGTTTGGTGTCTTTGGATGAAATATTTCAGTCTTTACCAAGCTCTTCATTTATTAGTGGACTACATCTTCCTCCCTGTGAACTTGTAGAGATCAAAATGAGCAGGCTAGGAACAGCTCCGAGGAAGGTCTGGAGAACCAAGTTGCCTGAGAGCCCTGTTCCTTTGCCCAAACTAAAAGGCTGAGCCTTGGTGCTGAAGACAATTCTCTTCCTTCCTCCTCCCCTCCCAAACCCTCCATTGTTAATTAATTACATGATCATTTACAAAATGTATCATCAATCCTTTCTTTGGGTTTTTCCATCTCCATCACCACTGGGAGTTTTAGTTCAATTAAGTCTCAGTCTGTTGCCTGGTTTGTTTGGTTTTTTTCTGATCATTTCACATACTCAAGGTTTCAAAGTTAGTAAGTGGACAAGCCTGCACCCAGGACAGGGGAAATCTTGCTATTTTTAATCTTTATTTCACAGAAGTTACTACTCAGACCATATGCAGAAGGCTGGGTTTTTTCCCCCTATTTTTGGCCCTGCTAACACCTGTGCATGCCACAGCTCTGGGATTCACCTGTGTATTGTAAAGTGTCGCTCATAGGAACACTTCCACTGGGTAGGACCCTGCTGTTTCCTCAGCTGTTCAGCTCAACAAGCAGGCCCCTCCAGATGCCAACCACTCCCCTGAGGAAAAGACTCACATGCTCTGCATCTGTAAGATGTGATGCTTTTTCTACTCCAAGAAAAAGGATCCTGTTTAATCTCTCAAATCAAACTTCAGGAGGCAATATGGAAATCAATGACAGTCGAGAGTAGAGGTTCCCAAACTTATTTGGCCTACTTCCTCCTTTTCAAAAAGAAAAATTACTCAATGCCTCCCTGCAAACCTACTTTCTTTAACCCTTCAATGGTTTTTTAAAAATTATTATCATTTCAAAAATATAAAATACATTTTAAATGACATATGTTAAATTTAATAATTTATTGTAAATTTGTGGGGTTTTTTCCTGCATTGGAATTTAGATGAAGCAATATTGCATCATGTAACCATACAGAATTTTATTATAAACAAGTCATCACACACACATATTCCTGGTGATAGGTGCTGGACTTCTGACAATTCGGGACACTCCTGCCTGCCAACACTTGCTTGTTAAAACCTGTCAGCAGACTTCACCATCCGTTATAACTTGTATTTTGTATTTATTTGGAAAATAATGTAATAACTACAACTTTAACTCTGTTACACAACAGATGAAACATACAAATGGTTTTTCCAAAATCTCTTCTATTCTTTCCTTATGTTTCCACTGCCCCCTTATTTTTATTCAATGCCCCTCAATTGCACCCGAGGCTACTACCATCCCCCTGGATCATTCCAGTGCCTCCCAGGGAATAGTATTTCTCACTTTGGGAACATATGCCTAGAGGAATGAGGCAGAGTAGAGAGGAAGAGAAAGCAAGAGAGTTCAAACTTCTTTCCACTCACACCCAGCTTTTAATTAATTTAGCAGTAAGAATGCTATGTGGAGAAATGAAGGTAACATGCATTTGGGTACATCTGCATTCAAATTACAATAAGACAGTGAAGAAATCGAACTGATAAATTACCCTTATTGTCTGAAGCAGCAGTTCTCAAAATATGGCCTAGGTACCCCTGGGCACCCACAAAATGTTTTCAGGAGGTCCTTAAGTCCTGAGGTCAAAACTATATTTATAATAATGCCAAGATGTTTTAATTTCTAATATGGCAAATATTGATCAATATTATCCACACAAACAAAAGCTCTTTGGGGAGGTCCTCAATAATTTTTAAAATTTAAGATTGCAAAGGGGTCCTGAGATCAAAAACTTTGAGAACTACTGATGTGAAGAAACAGCTTAATAATAGGACCTATTTATGAGGGTCACAGATCAGCCCAGCAGTGGATTCAGTGAAGTTTTGGCCAAAAAACTTATGGAGACAACATAAACTTTGTGGACCAGCAGAGACCAGGAGTGAATGAATGGCTGACTTTCCAAATCTAACCAGAAGAGGTAAACTCTTCCTGGCAAAATCACATTAATCATGATATAGGTATTCCAAGTTTTAAGTAAACCTAATAGGCAATGATACTGATCAATAAAATCAATATATTAAGGGGCTCTAATTTGATTTACCTATGCATGCACCGCAGAAAACTTCTCTGCCTTCAATACTTAAGTAGATCTGTGATCTCATCAATAATCCCACAGTGGAAATAGACAGCAACCCATCCATTCTCAACCACCTCTTGCATTATATTCTCAATACAGAACCCACTCAGTACACTGGAAGTGTTCCTTGGGTTCTTTTAAGATTTGGGTGGTTCAGTTTCTCTAGGGATATGTCAACTCAATCGTCACACTAAGATGGTGCTGGCAAAGAACCAATGGTTATATTAGTGCTTGCAGACTGTATGAAAATGATCACTCAGCTTTGTCTTCCTTTGCCCCTTTTTCTATCACTCCATAGCCACTGTAGGAAATAGGAAGAGCAGCCACACAGTACTGAAGGCTGGTGAAAATCCACCTCCTGTGGATCAAAGCCTGGCCACGAGCTTCCCTCCACTTAGGCTGGTGCTTGAACAGCAGGCACTCTGTTACCACAGCCATACTGGGAGCCTTTTTAGTTTAATAGGACCTGTCAGGGATTAGGTTCTGCTGGCATAACTTTTAAGACCTCCACATCTACAAGAAACATCAGTGTAGGATTTTAGTGGAGGTTCCATAATCATAGACTGATGATGTATGCACAGCTGCACAGACACACCTTCAACACCCACATAAACATGGACTGCTGCCCCTCATATACCTTGAAATAAATCCAGTTCATTAAATATTCAATAAGCACCTACCATGTTCCAGGCACTATGCTAGGACCTGAAGATACAAAGTGGGAAATGAAGAGTATCTTCAAGGAACTAACATTCTACTGAGAGGGATGATAGGGTAGAAACAACATGTACATGAATTGAATTAACTATAAAATTAGTATGTATATAAATAATTTCTGGGGTACGAGAGGGGGAATGATAATAGCTGGAAAAAGCAGGAAAGGCATCTTATAAAAGGTTGCATTTTAATGCGAAATTAAGAGGCACAAGTCAGGAGGGAGAACATTTCAGACATGGAGGACAGTGCATACAAAGTCCCAGGGTAAGAGATGGAATATCACAGTAATGGCTATCCTCATCATGGAAGATCAAAGAGACAAGAGAAAATGAAATGTGCTTCTACTTTAACTGAACATATGTTTTCTAATGCTAATAATTTCCTGACTAAATATTCACACTTCCAAATTGAATAGTAACACATTTATAAATATAACAATACATGCATTAGTTCTTTTAATCTTCACAACAACTTGATGAAGTAGATAATGAAGTATTGTCCTTCAGTTGATGCATAATCTCATTAGTAGCGGGTACTAGTAACCTACTCCTAATCCTGGATGATTCTTGCCCATGTCTTATTATGTATCTTATCATCCCCACTTTGTAGATAAATAAATTGAGACTAAGGGAGCATAAGGAACTTACTCAAGATTATATAGCTAGCAAACAACTAAACCAGGACTAGAAATCTTTCTCTCTCCAGCTCTAATGTTCTTTCCGCACCAGACCATGATATTTTTCCATTCCACTAAATCACACTTCCTTACATGTCCTACCTTATCAAGGTTGACTGGTTCCTCAGTACCAGTTGGGAGTCCCATTGAAACACAGTGAGTCAGTTGTCCTTTATGGTAAAAAACATTCACAGGAACAAGTTGTACCCCCTGATCTCAGTCATCTCACAAATGAGTACCATATGGGAACAAACAGGTTTTGATGGTTTGATGCAAGCCTTCACCATTATTGAGAAGTAAAACAACTAGAAGTTCAAGCTTACTAACATACCATCAACAGTGTTATGTTTGTACAGTCATGTTAGCCCTTTAAAATGTCTAGCTCAGAGCCTCGCGCAGAGTAGGCATTCAATAAATGCTTGTTGAATGAATGAATGAAGTGAATTAGTTTAGAAAGTTTTGTATCTGGAAGGTAAATAGAGGTCCTCTGGTCCAACTCTTTCATTTTACAGATGAGAAAACTGAGGCACCAGAAGAAGGAGTGACTTAGTAGTGAGCAGAGCCAGGATTTGAATCTGTCATCCCAATTCTAAATCCAATGAACTTCCTGCTCCACCATGCTGCCATCTCTGCATGTGCTCTTCCAACAACAAACTATACTCTAACATCTCTTACCAATCAAGCAACAGGCATTATTAAGTGCCTGCAGTGTGCCAGGAACAGTCCTAGGC